CCCAGCTACTTGGGCGGCTGAGGCAAGAGAATCGTTTAAGCCCAAGAGCTTGAGGTTGCTGTGAGCTGTGACACCACAGCACTCTACCAAGGGCAACATACTGAAACTCCATCTCAAGAAACAACAACAACAAAACATTCTATTTGTCTAACAATAAAAAGACAAAGTCAATTTAAAAATGGGCAAAACACTTAAATACACATTTCTCTAAAGAAAATATGCAAATGAACAATAAGCACATAAAAGATGTTCAACATCATTACTAAGCAGGAAAAGACAAATCAAAACCTCAATGAGATAGATCCTCATACGTACTAGAATGACTATAATAAAACAAAGAATAACAACTGTTATGTTAACAAGGATGAGAGAAATTGGAATCTCATAAATTGCTGGTGTAATTGTGAAATGGTACAACTGTTCTTACTGTAAAGCAGTTTGGCAGTTACTCCAAATGTTAAGCACAGAATTACCTCATGACCTAGACATTCCATTCCTAGGTAAAACGTCCCAAAGATCTAAAAACAGGTACTCAATTACTGTCAATACTTGTATACCAATATTCATAGCATCTTTAGTCACAATAATCAAAAGGTAGAAACAACTCAAGTGACCATAACCAGACGAAGAGATAAACAAAATGTGGTATATTCATACAATGAAATATTACTTATTCAGCCATAAAAAGGAATAAAGTTAAGATACATGCTACAACATGGACAAACCTTAAAAACATTATGATAAGTAAAATAAGTCAGACACAAAAGAACAAATATTGTGTAATTTCACATATATTAAATACATTGAATAGGCAAATCCATAGCTTCAGAATTAATATCAAGGTTACTAGCGGCTAGAGATGAGGAAGGAAGAATGAGGAATTCTTGTTTGATGAGAACAGACTTTCCATTTGGGTAATGAAAAAGTTTTGGAAATGGTGGTGATGGACACACAACATTGTGAATATAATTAATGCTACTGAATTATGCACTTAAAATAGTTAAAGTGGAAAGTTTTATATATATTTTACCAAAATAAAAAGGAATTCAAATTAAATATGAAGTATCTACTAAAATGTATCTCTAAGTGGCAATAATGACTAGGCAACTATAATTCAACAGGATGATAGTTGCTCAGACCAAAATCCAAGAAGCATGGAGTTCAAGCTGAGAAAAGAGAAGTGGAGAGAGAGGTATAATGGACAGTACAAAAATGGAATGTCAATTCATCAGAGGTGTAGAGGAAATTGAAGAATTGTTGGAGTCAAAATACTAGAGTAAATGAGCTAAAAACACAGAAATAATAGCCAGAAAGTGAAATGCTTAGAGGTGGTATAGTTATTGGCAATTACGAATCTAGAATATGACAGTGGGAATGGGGGGTTGAGAGATGTGGAAAAAAAAGATCTCTGGAAATGAGGAAGTACACTGGCAACAAAGATATATAACCTGGAAGTCCCCCAACTTTTAAAATCAGATACACTTTATGGTTAAAAGAAGGAAAGAAAAAAAGCATTGAATAATACATACCTTTAAAAAAACACCATAAATTATACACATGTACTTTGATACTGAGATATTATGTTTATTAAAAGGATATAAAGTAAAAATTCTCTTATTTTCTCCCCAGTAGGCCTCCCTAGTAGATCATCTTGCATATCTTTTGAGGAATGCTCTCAACTCTGAAGACTACTTTACTGAAGCTATGTGCTACATAAAGGGCAAAACTAATGGAATGTTACAGGCAAAAATTAAATAATATGTACCCTTCAGATAAAAACATTTAAAACTCTTAAGACAATTACAACCAGTATGATGCTGGTTGGCAGTGCTTAGCTGAGAGATAATGCAATAAGAATGAGTACATTCATTTGATCTCCACTATCCATCACCAAGTATGCTCACTTAATAAGCACTTCAAGACCCTTAACCCACTGCATTTTAATAGAAACATATTTGATTATTTACTGGTTAAAAACTACAAATTATAATTGATTAATTATCTTTGATGACATGAACTTCTTGGACCAATTTCACACACTCTGAAATGCTGCACCAGAAATTATAGATTTTATTCTTAGATCAAAGCAGATCGCCAAAGGGGTATGTCCTTGAACCTCATAATTCTACTGTGCAGAAGAAACAAATTCATTGAATTCTGCCTTATTATTATGCCCTATACTTAATTTGAGAAGTGGTTTTAGAAAGAGATATGAAGAAACCTGCTATGGAACTGTCACTACGTCATGGGTATACAGACCCATGAAGAGGATAACTTCAAAACTAAATACCAAAATATCTTTACTTCTCTTGAGAAATTATCACATTTAATGTATAATGTAAATTATATAATTACAAATAGTATGCTCGACTTTATGAAAGATCCTATAACTTGCATGAATATGTTCCAAGCTTCCTTAGAAATAAAAGTATCTTCTATTTTGTTATTATTTTCCTTGATCACTATTTACATTTTTCTATTTACACTGTCTCAACTGCAAAAACAAAAGGGGGGGGCATAAATAGCTTACTTACCTGAGACTTGGTCATTTTCTGCTGCTCTTCACAAGAGGCAGATACCTGTAAAGACAGGGCTGGGATAAGCAGGAAAGGGATAAAACTCTAGCATCAACTCCATTAAAGACTACCCTCTTTCATAGGTTTATTTCAGAGAAACTACAAGGATTATACAGTGATAACATCAACCTATTGATGTATAGTTCTGAAAAGATGAGGATATTATATGTTTTTCCTTTGAGGATCTGAGTGTTTATATTCCTGTATGTTAAAAATGTTTCTCCTTTGGGGCAGTGCCTGTGCCTCAGTGCATAAGGCGCCAGCCCCATATATGGAGGGTGGTGGGTTCAAACCTGGCCCTGGCCAAATTGCAACAAAAAAAAAAAGCTGGGCATTCTGGCGGGCACCTGTAGTCCCAGCTACTTGGGAGGCTAAGGCAAGAGAATCTTCTAAGTCCAGGAATTGGAGGTTGCTGTGAGCTGTGTGATGCCATAGCAGTCTACTGAGGGCAATAAAGTGAGACTCTGTCTCTACAAAAAAAAAAAAAAAGTTCCTCCTTTGACCCCACAAATCTATGATCAGCTATTTGCTATAACAAAATAAGTGTGGACGTACACAAAGTTACATCTGCATAGATATTCGTTACATTGATCATTTATCACCTAAAAGTAGAAAAAACCTAGATTTCCAGCAAATAGGATTGATTAAATCAATTATGGAAAGGCCAGAATGCCAAATAGTCATTAAAAATGGTGTCTTAGAAAAATATTTACAAACCTGCAAAATGTTTCTAGTTGAACTATAAAGCAAGACAAATAAATCATAAAATGATATATGATCACAGTTAAAAGAAAGTATCTGCAAGGACATCAAAATGTTCATGCTTTCCTTTGGACGGCAGAATTACAAGTAATTTCTATTGAGTTGCATTTGGCATTTTCTTTTTTTTCTTTTTTTTTGCATTTTTTGGCCAGGGCTGGGTTTGAACCCACCACCTCTGGCATATGGGGCAGGCACCCTACTCTGTTGAGCCACCGGCGCCACCCCCACATTTGGCATTTTCAATTTCCAGTTTTCCTACAATAAGTATTTATTACTTTTGAAGTTAAAAATGATAACTATTTTT